GAGACTTTCGTTATTGCTTACATTTGCAAAACAAGACATTCTACTTCCTTTTTTTACTGTATTTAAGACATGAGTTTCCACTGACCTATAGATACCCCCCTCGTATATTCCCATTTGCCAGTGTTATAAGCAGTTAGAAAGCTAAAAGATAAGCAGTTTGTTAGTTTTTATAAAATTTATAACATTCCCTCAAGAGTTTTTGAATGGCCTTGTCAAAGTCCAGACCTAAATGTTGTGGCAAGGATGTGAAACGAGCAGTTCATGCTAAAAAACCCACAAATGTGTTTGTCTAAATTCCTCTACAACACCGTGAGAGACTGATCAATAACTTACTACAGGAAACATCTGGTTGCAGTTATTGCTGCTAAAAATGGAGTAACCAGTTATTGAGTCCAAGGGGACATTTACTTTTTCACATGATGTATTGGGATCTGCATAATTATTTTTTATAGATAAATGAAATAAGTATCAATATTTTGTGTTAGTTGTTCACTCAGGTTCCTTTAATGTAATATTAGATTTTGGTTGGTCTGATTACATTTACTTTGAAAAATATAAAATAATACAGATAATTAGAAAAGGGGGAAATGCTTTTCACAACACTGAATTTTATAAAGAACTATACCACTCATAATATTACAGTGATCCTGTGTGTGCACACGCCTGTACAGTATGTGTGTCCTGTTTGTTTATCCTGTGTGCACGCTTTGTGTGTCTCTCCTGTGTGTGTCTCCTGTATATGCGCACATCCTGTCTGCCAATGTCCTGTGTATGTATTCTGTGTGTGCGTGTCCTGTGTGTGCGTGTCCTGTGTGTGCGTGTCCTGTGTGTGTGCGCGTGTCCTGTGTGCGCACGTGTCCTGTGTGCGCACGTGTCCTGTGTGCGCACGTGTCCTGTGTGTGTGTATCCTGTGTGTGCATGTCCTGTGTGTTTGCACGTGTCCTGTGTGTGCGCATGTCCTGTGTGTGTGTCCTGTGTGCACATGTCCTGTGTGCGTGTCTTTTGTGCATGTGCATGTCCTGTGTGTGCGTATCCTGTGTGTGTGTCCTGTGCCCTGACAGCCTCTCTCTCCGTGTCTGGAGCAGGTGGAGCTGTACAGGATCTGCAGGCAGCTGCACCTGAAGACCCAGAGCAGCCCTGATGGCCACCAGCCTCACCCAGACCTGATGGGAGACAGGCAAGTGAGAGCCGGCGCTGTCCAGGACAACCGGCAGCTCTATACACAGTGACACATAGTGAGCCTGGGGCTCAGGCACAGATCGCTGCAGTTAACCTCCACCCGGCAGTGCTGGGGATCGAGTTCAGGGCAGCTGACAAAGGTGACACTAATTCACCTTCACTTTGCTCATCCACAGCGCTTTGAGTGCTGGTTGGTAGCAGTTTTGTCATGCGTCTTAGGGTGTAAAAGATTAAAAATAAGGAATCCCTTGTGGGTGTTCAGCTAACTTTTTGCATAATGCAGGAGCACATGGTCTGTGTGTTTCGCACCCTTAACAGCACAGTGTCGGTTTACAGTGGTGGGCTTCATCTCGTCCCCGGGGCTGCTGGGGAGGACCCCTGAGTCTCCTTCTCTCCCTCTGCCCAGGTGGCTGGGCGCCTGCTTCGCGTTGTGCCCAGAGTACAGCTTCGTGCTGGAGGATGAGCGGGGCCTGTGTGGCTGTGCCCTGGGTGCGCTGGACATCAGGGCTTTCCTCAAGAGGAGCGAGGCCACCTGGCTGCCCACCATGAGGGAGAAACATCCCCGCGGGCCTGGCGCGGCCAGCCACCCCGCGGCACAGGTAAGACCCCAGAGAGCCTCCCTCACGGGCGTGCTGGGAGACAGGGCTATGAATGAGAGCAGCCTCGCCTTGATCTGGGGATCTTGTCCAGCCGTGGCTTGGTATAAACAAGGGTATCAGCTTCAGTAACATGACTGGATAGCTTGTTCCCCACTCCTACTACTATTTGGGTAAAGACCTGTCACTTGTGTTTTCGGATTGTGAATCGTTGTTCATTCACTTTAGTTGCTTTGTCACGGTCTTTGAGGATGTTAAACATTTGTATCCCGACCCCTCGTAATCTTTCAAGACTAAAGAGATTTAGCTCCTTCAGCCTGTCAGTGTTGGACTTTCTGTTCAGCAAACCAGGATTGTATCTAGAGGCAGTATCCTTTCTTGTAACATGGTGACCAGTATTGTACATAATATTCTAAATTACTGTCCATATATAGCACACATAACCAATACTACTATAATCCATGTATATCAAATACTACTTTACGAGTACTCTGAAAAGTATTACAGTATTCTTTTCGTATATTATTATATTCAGGTGGGAAGCTGTGTCAGCATGCGTAGGCTGCAAAGGAACAAGTAATAGGTTTATTCCCTGCTGAAAAAAAAGAAGAACTCACAGTGTTTCATTCGTGGAGCCTTCTACACCTGAAGAAGGCTCCAAGGCCGAAACGTTGTGTTCTCTTTCTTCTTTTTTCAGCATGGAATAAACCTATTACTTGTTACTTATTATTATATTTATGTGTACTTAAAACATATTGAGTTTATGTAGGTGCTGAAAGTTTTAGTTTTTATTAAGTTAGAGATTGTTTTTTTATTCCACATTTTTGCTTTGCAATGCATTTCTGAGGAATTCAACTACTTTGTCAATCACAGAATTGCTTTTTAGGGATTAAGGATATTGATTAGATGTTTTGGAAGTAATTTTTAAACTGATTACTCATAACTGATCATGCAATTTTGACTGTTGATTAATCAATATACACCTCGTTGGTGAGAGAGCTGGTTGGACACAGGTGGTGAGGACTGGAAGCAGCCTGTTAAAAACCAAGATGGAGAAACACAGCATGACGTCAACATGCCCCAGGCGGGCTCTCTTGAGGACGAGCAGCTATGCAAGAGCCCAATGCTCCTTAGTGACAAAGTGAGGTTTTGTGTCGAACACCCGCTGGGCACCAGAGGGCACCCTGCAGATGTACACCGGGCTGCCATTCTGCCAGTCCCACTTGCTGCTCCATCTCTAGGGCAGAACCGCTGCTCAGTGTGTGTCAGATCTCATTGGTCAAAGACCACATCGCTTCTCTTGAGGTACCCACACCATGTTGAGTGGGAGAGGTCCCGTACACAGAGAGAAGAGAGACTGCGTCTCTGAGCTCAGGTAGAAACGAGTGTGCACAGCTGTGAAGACGGGGAAAACCCTTGAGCTTGGTGGGAGACAGCGCCAGCCCGACTCCGAGAGCTGGCCGGCCACACTGGGGGCCAGCATGTGACCTGAGCGCTGTCCTCCTGGTCTGCCGGGAAACACAGGAACCGGCCTGCGGCTGTGTCTGTCCCCATCCTGAGAGCTGCACAGACACAGAAACATGACCTGTCTGGAGGTGCTTGCAAATAACTTCACTATTTTTCTCTGTATGATTTGAATATTTTCTCCTGAAAGAGATGAACGAATTGCACTCAGGAGTCCTGTGCCCTCATACTCGTTCATGATTCAACAGCCTCCTTCCTTCTGAGAAATTAGTGGAATCAGCTTTTATGTGAGTTTATAGCTTGTTTACTGTACATCTTATTTGTACTGCAATATACTGAGCTGAGTGATTGGAGGACTGACAGTTTAGGACTGGTTTTCTGTCAGAATTCGGTTTTCTTGTCAGTAAAGGTACAGGCAATCACATCACATGGGTCTGCACTTATCCAAGTCAGAACATTTTTTTCTATGCTTTTAAGTTCTGTTTAAAATGAAGGTGTTCTCATCTCTTTAGGAGGTAGTGTTTTGGTTTTTGATTACTTTAGATAAAAATAAACATTAAAATATATAAAAA